CCCACATGTGTCCGTTGCCTCTTGTTGTATCTGTGTGCACCTCTGAGAAGAACCTAGCTCTGGCTTCTCTTTATCCTGAGATCAGGTAGTTGCAGACAGCAGTAAGGTCTTTCCTTCATCTTCTCTAGGCTGAACAGACTCTATCTCAGCCTCTCCCCGTATGCCACATTCCCCAGCCATCTTGGTGGCCCTCTTGCTTCAGTTTGTCAGTAGTTTTTCTTTTACTGAGGAACCCAGAACTGGACACCACAAATGCTAGATAGAGGAGAAAGATCACTCCCTTTGTTCAGCTGGTTTCACTGTTACTAATACAGGCCCGGATGTGGTTGGCTGTCTTTGCCACAAAGACACACTGACTCTTGTTGAATGAAGTTACTTTATCCTAGGTGCAGGACTTTGCATTTGCTTTTGATGAAGTTTATTAGGTTCCTGTCAGCCCATTTTTCCAGCCTTTGGAGGTTCCTCTGAATAGCAGACATGCCCTCCAGAGTGGGGGGCTACACCTAATTTGGTGTTGTCTGCAAACTTGCTGAAAGTGCACTCCATCAGATCATCCAGGCTGTTAGTAAAGAAAGGAAGCAGTATTGGTCCCAACGTCACTAGCAGAGGGATACCTCTAGTGACTGACTGGCAGATGGACTTTGTACCACTGATTCTAGCCCTTTGAGTCCAGTATTCCAGGCGATACTCAACCCACGTTATCATCCATCCTTATCTCAACAATTTGGCTATAAGGATGCTATGGGAGATTGTGTCAAAGGCTAAAATCAAGGTGAACAACATCCAGTGCTCTCCCTTATCCCCAGAGCCAGTCATCTCCTCATAGAAGGCAATTGCGTTAGTCAGGTGTGATTTTCCCACGTTAAATCAATGATGGCTGTTCCCAGTCACTTTCCTGACCTTCATGTGCTTGGAAAATTACTTTGTGGGAGATTTGTTCCATAATTTTCCCAGGCCTGGTGTGAGGTTTGGTGGCCTGTAGTTCCCCAGATTACCCTTCTTGCCTTTCTTGAGGATGGGTGGGACATTTGCCCTTTTCCAGCCATTGGGAACTTCTCCAATCCCCCTGACTTTTCAGAGGTGACAGACCTGTGACAGACAGGTGATAGGCCTGTGTCCATCCATTGCAGCACTCCAGTCAGGTGAGCTATCCCACCATGTCTCTGTAATCTCAGAGATGTCACAACTCTCCACTGTGCATGGACTTCCTCCTGATTGTACCCCATGCTGTGTGTGTGTGTGCATACAGGTACCTGAGAGGAGCCTCAGTGAGGCTGCTTTTACAATGGTAATGCAAGAGCCTTCACCATCCTGTTGTCCCCCAACTGCTTCCTCACTGCTTCCATGCCTTCACTTCTCTTCACAGCATGACAACCCTTCCCCAACACACCTAATTTAAAAGTCTTTCCACTGTATTAATGAACCTGTTGGCACAGATGCTTTTGCCCCAGTTTGCCAGGGGAATGCCATCCCTGCCCAGCAGTTCTTGTTATTCAAAAAGGGTCCTGTGGTTATAGAAGCTGGAGCCCTGCTTGCAGCACCAGCCACACAGCATCATGTTGACTATGGGATGCATTAATCCCACCTGAGCAGTGAGCCCCTCACTGGGAGGATTGAGGAGGTACCACTAGGGTCGCGTCCCCCTCACTGTTATCTCAGGGCTGTCAGTCACCCTTGATACGCTCAAGGTCGCTCTAGTGGTACTATTGGTGCCCACACGGATGAGCAGTCAGGGAACTTAATGTTTAGCATATGGCTATTTTGGAAAAGAAGAAGAAGAAGAAGAAAAAAGGAAAACAGCTTAGCAAATGAAAATTTTAGCCAGTGCCTTTACTAAGGCTTGTTTTCATGGAGTTTGTAAGTGGAAGGCAAAAGGAACCCACTGCAATGGGTATGTTGTGGCCACTGCTGTCTTTGGTAGGAATCTTTCTTAGCAAATGCAGTTGTTATGAGAAGCCCTGAAAACCTGCTTAAGTGGGAATTCAACGTTCTTAGCTCATTTTATTTAAGAAGGGACAGGAAATGTGCCTGATGTCTTTTCTACCCAGCTTGTCATTAGCACCCGCTAAGCAAGTGTGGGAATAAACTTGTCAACCTGGAGTCATTTGAATTATCTCTGATCAAGAGCTGGTGGCACAAAAAATAATAGATGGAAAAGTGGTTGTTCTAAAGCTATGGAAACATGTCAAAACACAGCCATACAACATATTAGGCTATGTGCTCTCGGGGAGGTCTTGGTCCTAGCCAAGGACCAAATTGTGCAGTAGTCTGTGCCTAGGGATGGAAAACCATGTATTTGTGTTGGAAGGACATAATGGAATAAGAAAATACAGAATAATTCAAATAATAACATATAAAAAGGAAAAGTAAGAAGTTGTAGGTCAGAAGTAGGAGAGAGTTGCTGCTTTAAGGTAGTTTTTAGGTAAATACTGATCAGATACTGCTAATGTTTGGTGGATCTTAATGCTACAAAAGGCACTTGAAACATTCAACATTTCTCAGGATTGTGCTGACACACCATGTTGGACTGTGGTCCTGCTGCAGTCAGGTGGTGTTGGTCCCTAGCAGGACCATGCCTTCAGTGCAAAGAGGTGTTTAGCATTCAGTGTTGACTTCTGCGTGTGGACTAGAGTGAGCATTGGTGCATATCTGGATCACACTGGAAGCAGGGAAGATGGGAAATGTGTAATCAATATTGTGGTCTGATAGCTGAGCAGCTGCTCAGCTGGCATCTTATACCTACAGTTCATGACAGTCGTGCCCAGCCAAGAACAAGGTTTCAAAGATTTATGCCTAAGGTTGAGTTTGCACTTTGAGAACACTTGGAGTAAAAAGTGAAGCACGTTCATAAGTCGTCTTAAGGAACAAAGTTTAAACAAAATATTTTTAAATTTATGTGCAAGCAGAAAAAAATACCCATGTTAGACAAAAAAAAAGATTTAAAGAAAAAAAAAATTAAGATTTAAAGGGTAAAGAGGGCTTGTGGAGACAAAGAGAGGGAAATAGGTTTAGCAAGTTGCTGCCTGGTATGGAATGAAAGGAAAAAAAACTGAGCTGCAAACTCATCAAAAACACAGTTGTTAATTGAAAAGCTGACAGACCTGTAACTACAGCAGCGCTCTGGCCGCCACTATAATAAATGTAACTGTACATTTAGAGTAATTTGCTAATTTGCCTAAGTAACACCCACAGACAGCAACATGACATAAATACATTAGTGGAAGCAACAACTATAACCAGCTCGTACAGGTTCTTGGCTGCTAGATGGATGGATCAGATGAGCTGGAAAAGATTTACAAAACAGAATAGAAATGGAATTGTTAACAATATTGCGGCATACAGGATTTCTTTATTTTCCTATTTCCCAAGAATGCTTTAAGGCCTGTAGATGCCGATACATATTGTAACATGTAAGTAACATTTTTAACTTTGTGTGTATGTGTGCACACACCCGGAAAACTTCTAGAGATGAAGTACGCATCTGCAAAATGCTAAGCATTTCAGAAGCAAAACCGACAAAATTTACATCTCAAGTAGTCTTTCAGGTAAATAATTGGATCTCCAACATTCAGCATGTAATTATAAATATCTGAAAAGAGTTTCTGTTAGGCACATGTGTATTGAGTCCACAGGAAAGACTGGAACCTGTATGATCAATTTTCTTCGTACAGGTGTTACGGGTATCTGAAACTTACTCTTTGGAGTTGCCCAGATGTTTTCATTTGGCAAATAATGAGTTCAGCCATGTGGCATCTCCTCTGTGCTAGCACTGCTCTCTGTCTTCTGTTTCCGTAATTCTGAATCACACTGTTGCATTTTATTCTTAAGTCCTACTCATGCCAACTTTTGCCACTGCATATTGTTTTACATTCTCTAAATATCCTACCCCTAGGTTAGGCTTGGGGTCATCAGTAAAGGTTTTTATGTTATCAACAATACATTTTAAAGTAAAAAATGACAAGATTTTGCTGCTATGCAAGGTGGGTTTCATTTTCAATAAAATACTTCTTTCTGCTCCCAATCTCCTGTTCTGACTGTCTTCATCCTGATGCAAATTAATAGTGCAAAAGCAAAGCTAATGAATGCAGCTTTACACAGTTTCTCTCTTTGTTTCCTCTCAGATACACTTGAGCTTTTTGAGACAGGTGATGCCTGCTCTCGAGGGCAGAATCCGGTTGATAACCAAATGTAGAGTCGGGTGGAAAGTTTCTGTTGCAGTGCTGCTCTCAGGAAGAACACACGTGTGTGGGCATATATATTCTTGCCTGCAGCAGGAGGTTGCTGTGAGGTTTTTCACTAAATACGGGTTGTAAAATATTCTTGAACATGAGTCACTTTAAATTATAGTCCATGGATCTAAGGAAGTCACTGAGGAAACGGAGCAGGAAAAAACATGGAATAGAGGCAAACTGTGAGACTTCTCTGTGGGATGTGGAGTTTTGACAGCTAAACCCAGTCCCTGTCTTGCTTGAAGGCTTGATCTTAATGTCAGGGCAAAGAGGGCAGCAGACCCCTCTGGCTGACACAAGTTCTGAGTCTGTAAGACCTCCTCAGTACAAGCTGATGAAGACCACAGCTCTGCGAGAAGTGAGCTGACGTTATTTTACGAAGCGTTACGGCTGATCTTCTTTGAACCCTAATTTCTGTCAAAGAGTTATCATCATCACTGTCACAGTAAGTGATACTTGCAGCACAAATGGCAATTAACTAGAAGTAAATAGTAGAGCAGAAGTTTGCAGACTGGTTTTTAAGGTTGATGAGTTGAAAGTAGTTTCAACACATTAATGCTAAGCATGCTAAATCATAGTGTGCCCTGAAAAAGACAGTAATGTCATGTACCCGAAATCACCAGGAATTACAGTAACACTAGTAGGGATATGCTCGATTGTTTCAAGTATATGAGCGTATTATAGGAATTGATAATAGTTTGTGAGTCTGTCTGTTTTCTTTTATCAGATTTTCCATAAAACAAGTAATTTGTTTGTTTTTCACTGTTTTAGGTAGCCTGCCCTATGAATACAAGATTGTGATAGCAGGAAATCATGAATTGACCTTTGACCAGGAATTCATGGCTGACTTAATCAAGCAGGACTTTTACTATTTCCCCTCTGTTTCTAAGCTGAAGCCAGAGAGCTATGAAAATGTACAGTCTCTTCTAACAAACTGCATCTATCTTCAAGACTCTGAAGTGACGGTGAGGGGATTCAGAATATATGGCTCCCCTTGGTAAGCAGGTTTTTAAGCATACATAAAAAAATATTGTTGATTGCTATCACATCAGCCATTTTGTATGCATCAGCTATATTTGGATTGCTGTGTTAGGAAGAAAAGTAATACTCAGTTTGATAAAGTTTTTATATTTTCTTGTAATGAATCATTCCTGTGACAAAATAACGTACTTGTACTATGGCTATTGTTAACCAAATAATGATGGGAAAAAGATAGTGTGCCCTTTAAACTCTCAGCCAGGAGCAGTTCTCTAACATAGTCCATGTAGGGGGTTTTTGTGTCATAAAATATGTTTTCTGTGCTTAGTGAGTTTATATAATTACAGGTTAATTTTATTGCAAGGCTACATTCTTTTGACAATTTCCATCCTACAGATAATATTTAAGGTTCATTAGTGTATACAGTAGTCATTTAACACAGCAAGCTTGTTTCAATATTTGTTTAGCCTTTTTTTTTTTAATATCCCTCAGAATCTTACTTCTTTTATACAGTAATAGCTTTCCTCAAGGTGTAGTTGAGCTTCTAAACTAAAGTCAACAAATCAGTGGCAATCTAGTATTTCATGGATTTTGCTCTACTGCATAGAGTAAACACTTAGAACTCCTTGACAGTACTGGAGACAGATGGGCTTTGGCTTCCTGACCGCCACCTTGGACCTCGTATGTGCTGCTTCTGTGTCTCTTACTTATGTTACATTACTACTATATTGTTTCCGCTAACAGGACTGTAAATTGGGTCTTTTATGAGCATTCGGTATACATTTAAAATAAGTAAAAATTTATTTTAAAAGGCAGGTTTTTAGGGGAATCTGTTATTCTTCCTTTTAAAATCACATCAGGCTGGAATGTAGCAAACAAGTTGTCAAACCTGATGCATATACCCCAATGTGAATTTTCAGTGTGAATAAACTGTGAAATCTCTTGGATTTTTTTTTAAATGAAAGTTGGCATTTTCCCATTTGGTTACTTGAGATGGGTGTTAATTTTCTCTGAGCTTATTATTCTACATTTGTCTACATTAAATAGCTTCCCTCTTGAATGCATCCTTCCCTCTCTCCCTTTTAGATCTCCAGATCTTTCTGGGTTTTTTTCAACCTACCCACCTGCTGTGTTGTAGTTCATCTTCCTCTTGTGTCTATTGTGTATTCAATCAATGTACAATTTACTTCATTTTCCAAATTATTAGGGAAGATATTAGATGGTATCAGTCCCAATATTAACTTCTGAGAAATGCCACTTGGCATCTCTTCCCATTTTGATGTTCAACTGTAAATACTGTTAATTATGCTCTGTTTACAATATGTCTGGCAACTTCCTATCTTCATTGCAATATTCGTAACCAGGCACCATATTTCCAGTGTCAGTAATAATTTTCCAGACATTAAAGTACCAAAAGTCTCATTAAAGTCTAGATAAATTAAATTAAAGCAAAACACTATCTATAAAGTAGCACTAAGTAGAGGCTAGAGGAAACCATTTGAACTTTCTGTGTATGATTAGATCTGTAAAAATCTGTTGAGAAAACTTTTGTCCACCCACTAATCCATAAATAATATTTCTGTAAAATCAGATCTGCCACATTCCCTTTGTGCGCTAATCTTGTCATTTTCCACAAGTTGTCTAAGCTATCTGGCATGATGTATTCTTCATGAAAAAAGATTGCTTTCCATCTTTTATGCATCTTCAGGTTATATCTAAACTTCCACACTACATGTTTCTCAGTGTTCCTAACTCATCTCCCCTACGGTCCTGGAAGATGAGTGTTGTAAGGTCCTTTGAAGATCTTTGCTTGCTCCATATGGGAGAAAGTCTTGATGAAAGTCTTCCAGCCAAACTGGTTTTTTTGCTTGTAATTATGCAATGCTGAATGAAGTTTCCATGCTAATTGATGTCATGTCCAGTGGAAATAGCAACAACAACAATAATAGCAATAATAAGTCGCTCTTCATTAGTCTATCAGAACAGCGGATGCAGAAGTAACAAAGTCACATCAGCCAGCCCACCAGTCAGAAAACTTAGGAAGAGAAACAGCTATTTTGTGTGAGTTAAACTAGCTACCTGCTGGATTGAAGGCTGTAGTACAAGTCTGTGCCCACTGGTCACTACTGTTATTCAGCATTTCTTTTTGTTTCTATACTTCATTCACCCTGAAAAGAGAGGTTTGTCATAGCCTCTCTGGGAAGTCAATCCCAGTTTCTTTCTGGGAAAGAAATAGTCATGTAATGTTATGTCTAAAAAACTGCAGAACTTTGGTGAACTTTCCATGGTGAATCTTTTTTTGCCCTTGCATCATGAAGCCAGTCCTTTAGAAAATGCTTATGAACCTAGTCAATACTTCAAAATTTAGAGTTCTTTAAGATCTCCGAACTCAATAAGAAAGCTACATTTCATGCAGTTGCTTGTTTAATATCCTAAAATAATTTTATTTTCCAGCCTTGTAAATATGCATCTAGCTTTTTGAATGGATTTGTTTAATTGGAGAATTTCCAATTATAGTTTATATTTGTTGCCTGTACATGACTCTAATGAGAAGGTGAGCTATCTAGAAATTATGACTGGGGCCCCAGATCCTGCCTTTCCATTTCTGGTTACAGCCCTGACCTTCTGTCTTACTTCATTCTTTGTAAAAATAAGTACAAGCTAGAGATATCCCTCCTTTATAAAACAGGTTAATCAATAGTTGCAAAGTACATTGAGAATGCTGGAGTAAGGTCTGAGTGAATGCCAACCAGCATTAACTTAGTGTCTTTACCTGTAGCCATCTGCGTTTTTATATATTGCCTCTACACAATTAGATTGTACTTCTTCTTAAGATGTTTTAGTTTTAAAGTAAACCATGAGAGCTTGATTGGTTTGCATAACATGCCAGTCTTTAAGGCCTTTTAAATATGTACCATTTGTGTGTGGTTAAATATTTTCAATAGCACTTGGGTATTTTGACCTGTATTATTATCTAAAACTCAGTGGTTATTTTTAATTGCATAGAAGAAATGGGACACTGATATGTCTCAGAAACCAATGCTCTGATTCTCCTGGGCTCCAAGGGCAAGATTTCAAGTGCCAGATTGAGCCTCTACTCGCTAACGAAAATTTAACTGCCTTAAATGTTAATTACGCTAGTATTATCATCAAGCAGGGAGCAGCCATTTTGAAATGCAAGCTGCAAAGCACAAAAGCTGCCATTTAGGAATTAGTATTTGCAACACTGGTATCTTGGACCACAGATTATCGGTATAGATGATAAGGGAGAGGAGTACAAAAACATTAGATGCTTCATGAGAAACTTGGGAATTCCAAGATGTTAAATGTGTCCAGAGCAGTCTTGAATTTAAAGGGTGGCTATGTTTGGCCTAGGGGGCTGATGCTTTTGACAGTGCACCATACAGTGTTGGTTGCCAGATCTGGATGAGCAAGGCATCAGTAAGAATGCAATGTGCTTCCTTCTAATGTAGCCCAGACGGTGGGAACTGTTGGGTTTTTTTCCCCATATAAAGCCTGGGCACTATGATTTTTTTCATAAAAAGCTAGGCACAGGAAGATGCACTCTGGTTTCATCCCAGCAAAACCCAGGACATGGCCAGAACATATTCACAGACCTGGAAGCAATCTTGTGTAGAGAATAGCTGTACTTGCTGTGAATGTAAAACAAAGACTTTGGTTCCTCAGTAGCATTTATTGTAAATTGGAAAGCTTCTGGTTGGAAAGTACTTTTAAACAACCTAATTTGTTCTGGACTGCTACGAGAAAAGTCAAACTGGCAGATAGAATAACCCAAATAATTCTACATAATAATTCTATATGATGTACTTTTGACTGCTAAGCCTTCCCAAAGATGAAGCCATTTTCCAGAGGGGTTTAATTTGTTTTTCAGTAACATACAAAATCATAACATAGAAGTAAAAATACAGCAAGCGGGAACACCAGAGAGGTGGCAGAGAATCCATCCTTAGGTGTTTTCAAGACTTGGCTGGACAGTTGTGGCTGACCAGATCTAGTGGTGGGGAGTGGTAGGGAGTGGTAGGTTGGACTAAAGGTCCCTTATGAGCAATGTTTCTATGATTCTGTCAATCCCACTATGGAGCTAGAGCTAGGTGTCAGTGTTGATAGCTGAAATGAACAGGTATCAACAAAGTCCTTACAATAGGGAGCTTTGCTGTTGATATCAAACTCCCTACAAGCAGCAGATGGTCCCGACAGGTGGTTTGGAAGTCAGGAAGCCGAGATAATAGTGGAAATTTGAATTTGGATTTGAAGCAGGTCTTTTCTGTGTCATCAGACTCAGTATTCTCTATGATGACGTCATTCATGGAACCACATTAATAAATGATTAGTGATTATTTCAGTTACAGATTTTCAGCCTTCTATTATAGTTCATTGCTCCCACAATGTGTTACTGTTTTGCAGGTAAAAGTTTCAGTGTTAGCTACAGCTGGAATCAAGATAGGCTATACAATCCACCTGTGCCTCTGCACTGCTAAAGATTTTAATCGCACAATTACACACTGTGTTTGCACAAAAAACCCTGATGCATTCAGTGCACAAGATCTGCTGTGCTTGCTGAATGAGTCAACTATATATTATTCCTTTTATAGTCATTAATTCAGAATTGCCGTGTAAAAATAAATGCCTATAAAGGTGCACGTGCATTTTTGTATCAACGTGAGAACGCCTCTCTGAGGTTCGTACTTGCACATATGATCCTGAGTGTTGCTACATCTGCTTCTCTGCTGCACAAGGTTCCAGTAATGGACTCTGCCCTACTACGTGTTTTTTCCATTGATTTTTTTACAACTCAGTGAGTAAGTAACTTGGCTCCCTGTTCTCCTGTTGCATGCAATAACTAATGATAAGACCTGAAGACTAATGAATTGACCCCTGATCAATAATCAGAAGCTGTTTGTGTCTGGCAAAGATTATACTGGCTGTTCCCCCAATGCCTAATATTGCACCCCTGCCTCAAACTTATAGAAAACATGTGCATCTGCAGAAGAACAGGTA